GCCCCAGTTCCCTCTCTCCCTTCTAAGGTAAGATGTCTACCCACTTTTAAAAAGGTTTCCTATTCTTGACTTTAAAAGACTAATAGCCTCACACCTGGCTAGTGGTCTAGCCTCATCTCAGCAATGAGAATCTAACTAACCTAAGGGTCTAACCTCCACTCAGCCCCACCTGACCCACCTCATTCCTCATACCTAGCAGCTTTCTTGCTAAGAGCACTGGCACCCAGTCCTCGCTAACTCCGACGGTGCAGCTCCCAGGAGTAAAGCACAAATAAGCACTGACGACTTAGGAGACATCCTGGGCAACCCTACCCTAATGGTCACTTAGGAATAGATGGGTTGCCTCACCCAGGGGTGACATGCAAATAACAGAGGGGACTCTAAAACCAAGAGAGATGAAGTTCCTCAGTGGCTCCCCAACTTCCCTGCCCATGCTCACACTCTTGGCTGCTTTGATGAACTAAGTAAATAGTGCAGAAGTACATTTCAGCCTCAGCTCTAATAACAGCATAGACTGAAGGACAAACTTAAACATAGTTTAGAAAACAAATTGACAATGTCAAGTTGCTCCACTTAAATTGTTTCAAATTTGACTGTCAAGAATAAAGTCCAAGTGGAGAAAACCCAAATGACTCCTCTCTGTCTCTCCGTCTCTCTGTCTCTGTCTCTGTCTCTGTCTCTCTCTCTCTCTCTCTCTCTGTGTGTGTGTGTGTGTGTGTGCGCGCGCATATGTGATGTCTCAGCTCTTCCTCCATCACTCTCCATCTTATCTTTTGAGGCAGGGTCTCTCACTGAACCTGGAGCTCAGGGATGCCTAGACTCTGGCGGGGAAGACTTAGGGATCTTTGCCTCCCAGCACTGGGATTACAAATGCTAACAGATTTGTTTCATTTGTGCTTGGGCTTTGCTGGGCATGCTTTACCTGACGAGTCATCTCCCCACCCAGCTCACAAGTGGCTGTTTTTAAGGGTGAGCAGTCAAAATTTACCAACTATGTGCGTATTGTCAATGCCATGTTCAGGGTTTCCCACACTTAACTGGTGCAGTCCTCAGGACGGTAAAACCGCTGTCAGCAAGGAACTGAGTCTCTAATGACTGAGAACCCTGTCTCTCCCCACCCCAACCCACCCCAGGCATTGCTGGAAGAGCGGGTGTCACCTCGCCGTTCATCCACAGGGTTGTACACTTAACCGCACACCACCTGTCCCCCCACTGGCCAGTCCCCAGCTCTCGCCTGGCATGCCTTCCTCCACAGTTTGGCCCTGAATACACTTCGGGGTAAGTTCCTCCACTGTGATAAGCAGGGCCCGATCTCTGACAGCTGTTCCCCGCTCTTCATCATCATCTGAAACAATCAGGAAGCATTAGAGAGTACTTTTCCCTTTACAAAGGTGATAATTAGATAACAAGCTGAGATTAAAGTAATTACAGTCAGACAGCTGGCGAGGCAGTACAGTCATGTTGAAATATTGTTGGTACTTCAGCATCTGGTTCTAATAACGGCATAGGCTAAAGGATTTTACATTAATTACAAAACATAATTTAATATAAACACATTTAATTACAATTGATGAGCGATAAACTGTTCAAGAGTGACTTAACCCCTTCCATGTGTCAAAGTGATGGGAACTCGGGGCAGACTGTGGCCTGTGCTATCGTCTTTCTCCCTCCACATCTGCCCGATGCCCTCTCTTGGAATAAGCCTCCTTACTGCAAGAACGTTTCAGGCAAGGGTGTTGCTGATAAGGCCACGAGCGTTCCACGCATGCGCAGAGCACACCACCTTTGGAATGCCTGCACAGGAGCTGCGCTGCTGCCAGGCTCGGTGCCTTGCCTGGCAACACCCTCTTCCTCTCACTGTCTTGCCCTGAAAAATGAAGCAGTGTCATCCTTTTCTCTTGGTTCCTCATTCATGTGGTGCTGGTGTTGCTCTTGACGGTCAGTCCTACGGAAGCGCAGAGTTCCCTTAGGAAACCATGTTTCGTGTGCAGGCACCTGTATGAGTGCAGCTTTATTGGGTGCTGGGGATCTGAACTCAGGTCCCCACGCTTATTCAGCAAGCACTTTACTGATTGATTCATCTCCCAGCTCCGTCTCTTACTAAGTATTTAAAGGTAAATCCATCTTCTTTACCAAAGCAGAGGCAGGAATGTCCCTAGGTCCAACAGTCGGGGTCCTGTCACCACTAGAAAGTCAACGTTAAGGAACACCTAGGGTTCTACCTGAGACAAGACATTATTCTGGCAGAAATTCTCCCTTATAAGCTACTGATCTGAATCTGCACCCCAGAACTAGCTGAGAGGACCTTGGGGTGTCCATTGTAACAAACTGGATAACACAGACACAATCTCCTCCACACAACTCTCACTAACTGCACAAGGTCCTTCCAGATGGCCCTCTGCAAATGGGAGACATTTAAAAGCCACAGAAGCCAAGCATTGCTAAGTCACAATGACACTGAGGTAACCCAAGCATCGACCCAAGAACGACCTAATGCCGACTCATTCCTAAGAGTGTGTGGCATTGAACAAGCTGGACAATAGCCATTGATTTCTCTATTTGACAAATGACAGGAAATTACCTCAAGTATCTTTACCATTTGCTATGGATTTTAAAGTGTAATGCACACAGTCTATACTAGAAAACAGATAGTTTGCCAGGGGTTGGAAGAGGTTCAGCTAAGTACTTTCCAGGCAAGAATGAGGACCCAAGTTCAGATCCCCAGCACCCATAGAAAACAGTCAGTCATGGTGGCACACACTGGTAATCTCAGCACTGGGGAAGCTGAGACAGGAGGATCCCTGGGGTTAGCTGGTTGGAAAGTCTAGAGAAACTAATGAGCTCTACGCTCAGGGAGAGGCCCCATTCCAAAGAGAAAGGTGGGGAAAGATTGAGGAAGACCCCAAGATGATGGTCTATGACCTCCACGTGTGCACAGACACAAACATAAACACTCACATGAGAGAAAGATGGGGAGGACTCTAAATGAAAGGTATTCTGTATAGCCTCTTGCAAAGAGGAGAACCCTAAGTTTCCCAGCATGGAACTCTGTAATCTGAATAGGAGTCCTTTGCAACTGAGAAGGGAGGAAGGACAGAAACTAGACAGCACAGGGTTTGCTATTCTAAAATTTCTCACCAGGTCATTCAACATAAAACTTCTATTAATCAAAAGAGAAAAAAAAAGTGAAAAGAAAACTCAATGTGAAAGAAAAGATTACACACATATATGTATATATAAGAATATATGATATATAAAAAGAACTGTTACAACACCCACCCCCCAAATCAAAGCAAAATAAAGCAAAAACAACAACCAAAAATCCACCCAACCAAAGGAAGCAAAAGATGTGAACATACATATTCCCAAGGCAGATAGACTCAGTGAGAAGATGCTTGGTATCAACAGTCACCGGAAACTAGGACCCAAATGAAAATGCAACAGCAGTTCACATACAACAGGATGGCTGCTATTAAAAAAAACAGTAATAATAATCATTGGTGATGACGCGGAAAAGCCGGAACCTTCATGCTGTGCTCACACAAAGTGAATACAAACACATCTGAAGCTCCTCAGATCATCACACAGGGAGGTACCATACCACCTAGAAATCCCACTTTAAGTGTGTATCCAGTAGCACCGAAAAAGGCCTGCACACACAAAAAATTACACAAAATGCTGACAGCAGAGCTGTTCACTACAGCGGCCAAATGTGAACATTCTAAATAACTGTCACCCGACGAGTGAATGAACAAAATGCGGCATATCACACGTCGTCTTCAGGAATGAAGTGCTGGGAGAGGTTATAAACAGACGGACCGGCAAACACCATGCCAAAATCACTCACACAATGGCCCTCATACAACAAAGTCCCAAAGAGGCAAATCCAGAGAGACAGGATGCAGATTAATGGCTGCCAGAAGGTGAGGTTGCTAAAAGGTATGGGGTTTCTTTGGAGGAAGTGATGGAGATATTGTGTAATCCGATAGCTAAAGGTGGCTCTCAGGAAGGGCAATAATGTCTGGTCTCCCTATGAAAGCCCCAAAGAAGGGTTGTGAGCAAGGACGTGCTGGTGCCACGCTCCAGGGATCCTCCAAAGGCTGGGAGGCACGGGACACACTGACAGCTCTCTCTCTCTCTCTCTCTCTCTCTCTCTCTCTCTCTCTCTCTCTCTCTCTCTCTCTCTCTCTCTCTGTCTCTGTCTCTCTCTCTGTGTCTCTGTCTCTGTCTCTCTCTGTCTCTGTCTCTCTGTGTCTCTGTCTCTGTCTCTGTCTCTGTCTCTGTCTCTCTCTCTCTCTCTCTCTCTCTTTCTCTCTCTCCCTCCCTCTCCCAGTGAGAGTAAATGAGAAACTGAGTGAGATGCATCACAGTACCGGGCACGGAGGAAGCTCTCAATAAATGTGTTATTTGTATAGAAGTCTCAATAAGGTTAAACAGGTATTTTTCCAAAACTGTGTAGCTCACTGCAAGACAAAGATAGAATTCATGCAGCTTTCTCTGTGGGACAGAGTCTCTCCAATAAACAATTAAATTAACCAAAAATCTGCAAACCGCTCCTGTAAGCATGCTGATCAGATGGCAATCAAGTCATCAAGGCATCCAGAGGATATAATAAACAACTTTACATCTCTCCTCCCCCCTACCACGCATCCTCCAAGGGGGAGGCAGCTGCTTCTCTCACAAAAAGGCCTTGAGGGTTGATGTTAATATCTGCTCAAGTTGCCCAGCATCTGAACATCATGTGGTTTGTTATGTAGGTGTTTATTTGAGCTTCAAATAAACACATTTGCTGACAAGTTAGTGCAAAGGACCAAGATACGTGAACACCTGAGACCCGGGAGGGGCAGGGTAGCACATTCCTCAATCTCAGGTCCAGCCTTCTGTTCTTTGAAAAGCCCGGTATCCAGGCTGTTCCACAAGAGAGGTGCAGAGCAGAGAAATGCTCTACTCCAAGACCCAAGCAAAGCACACAGCAAGGGCAAAGTGACACTCATGCCCACCTGATTAAGTAGTGGTTGATGATGGTGTCGAAGTAGCTGTAGTACACAGCATTGTTCACGTGGCCATACTGGTCATTGTCCTGCCACCTGGTCTGGATGGGTAAGAAGTACCCATAGGCCTCCAGCTGCCGATTGTGATCTTCGGCTCTCTGCTTGGTTGATAACGTAGATAAGGAATGGGTGGCATTTCTAGGAAGTAGCCTCCATGCCTGAGGAATCATAGTGATTGCTGCTTCAGAATCCCTTCAAGGAAAAAAGAAACCATGGATACAATGTCTGTGAGAATGCTCATCTTAGTTTTAGGCAACTGCATACAATTTTGAACACTGGAAATGAATCTTCCACAATAAATCCAAATCCTTACCATAAACTCTAGTTACTTTCTTAAAGGATTCTTAGGGCCAGGAGGATGGCTCAGTGGAGAGAGGTGATTGATGACAAGGCTAGCAAGCAGAATTCAATCCCCTGAACCACATGGTAAAAGAAGAGTATGAAAATGGATTCCCCCAAAGTTGTCCTCTGGCATCCACACATAGAGTATGCACGCAAACACACACACACAAACACACAAACACACACACACACACACACACACACGTATTTTTTTTTAAATAAAGGGCTCTTTTACTAAAACTGTTTTGTCACATAATACAGAGGCAAAGCCTTTGAGTGAATTTTAAAAGAAGGGGTTTTTAATTGTGTTTGTATGGAGTTTTGTTCTACAAAGTATTTTTTAATAACATAAAAATCTAATGACATCTATAAAGTACTTGAGTATAAAAACACAGCTCAGTCCATCAGTCTAAAATAAAATGTTCCCTATTATCAAGAGGGTCTGAAGACTGTAAGTTTTCAAAAGAAAAGCATAATAAAATTTTAAAGAAATTATATCTTACAGAAAAACATTCAACACACTTTTACAAAAGGAAAAGAATGCAACAATACCCATTGTTAACAAACGTTTCCATGGGTGCTATTTCAGTCTTGTAGATCTGAGTGTGCATTTTAAAATAGGATCCCACTGTATGTGTTGTGTTGAGCTCTTTACTGAACAATAGACCACTAATGTGTTTACATATTCATCTGCCTCTGTGGTAGCATTAAATTCCATTATATCTCATTGCATTGATGCACCAGAATTTATCACGTCCCACATCGATGCATATTTAGTGTTTTGATTCCAGTTTGGGCCATGAGATGGAAATCTTTTTAAATAAATCTTTATATGTATTCACCATTATTTCCTTAGGATAAATTCCTACAAGCAAAATTGCTGGGCCAAAGGACAAATGAATTGTTAAGGATTTTGATATAAATTAATACCCTCTGGAAAGACGGTACCAATTTGTCCCCTCCCTAGCAATGCATGAGCAAGCCAATTTCCCTGTCAATTGTAAAATGCTTTGTCAATTTGACTGTGTTCTCTCATTTCCATATAAATTTAATGAAATGTGCTAAGTGGAAAGATGACTGCTACTACTACAATGATGGAGTAACTCAGATCAGAATAACCTTCTGTGGATGTGAGAAGATGTCACAGAACAGCTGCTGAAAGCTATTAGGAACCGATCAAGGTAGACTTTACAGACTACAGCCTAGGGACAGGGTGATACACCCTAGTGCCATTAGCCACTGACAGTTCTATTAGGGTCTCACAAAAACAGAAGGCATAACGGCAAGCTAGAACGTGTGGCATTCATTTGCTTGTTTGTCCATTCCTTGCTGTCCAAGAGACAGAGCCCTGAACTTTAACCATGCTCTGAAAACACTGTACCACTGAGCTCTGGCCCAAATCTGTGATGTTTTTGCTACGCTAGAAGCAAATATGGAAGAGCCAGCGGCATCCAGCAGGAGGGCGAGCTTCAGAAAGAGGAGACTGAACACAGTTCCTATTAAGGCACGAAATGAGGCATGAGCTCATTGAGTGATAAGAGAACCAACCCAGCAGGAAGCACGATGGTCATGAGGCTGAAGCTTTAAGAAGAAACTAGGAATCTTAAGGTGCTAACAGTACAAAAATCAGCTTTCAAGGTTTCTAAGGATTAGGACAAAAGCCACTGGGTGAAAAGACAGGGTACTCCAAATGCATGAAGAACTTTGACAACCTACATAATAAAAAGATTTTTAAAACCCAATTGAAAAGCCCACAAGGGCTGGGATGTAGCTAAGTTGGAAGAGTGTCTGCCTAGAATATACAAAGCCCTGGGTTTCATGACCAGCATGACATAAAGCAGGCTTGATGGGCATCCTAGTACTAAGAGATGGAGGCAGGAGGATCAGAAGTTCGAGGTCATCCTTAGCTACATATTTGTAGCAGTTTCTTCCTTGCCATCGTATTAGTGTTAGTGGCCACACCCCTTTAGGCGTGGCTTCAGCTGGGGATAGAACCGGGAAGAGGGAAGCATGAGGCAGGGCTCTTTATTTATGTGGCGGTTCTTTATTATATCTGTGTAAGTTGTTCCCCAATAAAACACCCATTTATCATTATCTTGTGTCTAGAGAACTCATTATCACCCACCTACACATATTGAGTTGAATAAGTTATGGAATACTCACAAAGATGTATAGAATATATAAAACTCAAAAGACTATCAAGAAACCAAATAATCCATTTAATAAACGGGATAATGAGATGAACAGATAGTTCTCAAAAGATAAAGTACACATGACCAAAAAACATATGAAAAATTGTTCAACATTCTTAGCAGGGATGCAAATTTAAACCACACCCAGATTCTCTCTCTTTCCCCAGTCAGAATGACTACCATTAAGAACATAACAACAGGCTAGGCGATGGTGGCACTCGCCTTTTATCCCAGCACTCAGGAGGCAGGGACAGGTGAATCTCTGTGAGTTTGATGTCAGCCTGGTCTACAGAGTTAATGCCAGGAGAGGCTTCAAAGCTACATAGAGGAACCCTGTCTCAAAATAAATAAAGAACGAAAAGAAAAAAGAAAGAAAATAGCAACAAATGTTGGGGATATGTAGAGATAAGGGAACCCTATACAACACTGGGAGGCATGTAAATTAGTAATTAGTTCACACATTGTGGAAATCAGTGTGGAAAGGAAAAAAAAAACCCAGCTATACCACTCCTGAGAATAGGCCCGAAGAGGTACTTCACATCGGTGTTTATTGCAGCCCTACTCACAACAGGCAAGCTACGGAACCAGCCTGGGTGTCTGTGAAAGGACGAATGAATAAAGAAATGTGTTACATTCAACCATAAAGAAGAATGAAATCACCTCTATTGTAGGAAAATGAATGCAACTGGAGATTATCAAGCCAAGAGAAAGAAACCAGATTCAGAAAGAAAAATACTGCATGTTTTCTCTTGGAATCATAGATTTTATAGAGATATGTAAAATATGCATATAGTACATGAAAGTAAATGTGAGACGGGGAAAGATAATAATGAGAGGAGAGCAGGAGAGTGTCAAAGTATACGGTATTCATGTATGAAAATGTCCCTAGGAAAACCATCAGCATATACAAAGAAAAAAGGCCAATGTGAGAACGGTGTGGTATTGATTTCTTGAACCTATTTATTCCCCACATCTATAAAATGGTTCTTTTATATTTAAAAGGAACTATGGGGCGATAAGATGCAAATGCATATCTTTACTTATACTTACAAACACATTCAGGAAGGCACATTAGCATAGTGGTGGCGGGGGATGGAATGCAACATACATTTCTGCTGGTATTTTAGGGATCATTTTGGCTTGGGGATGATGATGATATTAATAGGAAATGATATAAAATCATAAATGAAACATACACAGAAACAAATGAACTCAATGATTTTTCAAATTAAATTTTAAAAATCACACAAAGTGGGCACTTTTGACTAAACACTCTCTATCTAGAGACAAAAAGACCAGTTAACAAATATTGAACATTAAGGTTATTAACTTTTATAGCAATAGAGCTAATAATTCTGCATCAGCTTCTTATGAATTTTAACTTAAATGAGGAGAAGCAGTGGTAACGGTGTGAACCAGATTACTGACCTAGAGAAAGGATTTTAAAAATACTGTGCAGAGAGGCTGGGGCAATGGTTTGGTGGTTAGGGGGATTTACTGCTCTTTCATAGGACCCAAGTTCAGTTCCCAGCACCACGTTGGGCAGTTCACAACTTCCTGTAACTCCAGCTCTATGGGCTCTGTCTGACACTGTCTTCTGGCTTCCATAGACACCTGTATATTCCATGTAGCACACTTTCACATAAGCTCACACATATGCAATAAACAAAATAATCTTAAAAAATAAATACATTAAAAAGGAAGATTAAAATCAACTTTCTAGCATTAGATTGAATTTGTGAGCATGGGGGAGAGACTGCAAAAATAGTTTCACCAATCCTAGATGCATTGAGTACAGACACAGGGGCTGTCCAGAAGCACCTAGTATCCAAACTTTAATTTCTAAGTACCATTATCCTCCACCCCCTAAAACCAAAGGCTTCAAAGAACGGCAGATCCCAGTATTAGATCAGAGAGGGCAAAAGATGATCACTGAACACTATTATGCCCACACATTCAGAAATGCCCCAAAATGCTGCTGGCCGTCACAAAAGCTCATAGGAGCTACATGGGGACTCCTAACGGTTCAGTCTGGGTCACATAAACATCAAGTACAAAGTGAAAGACCTTCAAAGCAATGACAAGAAGACCTCTCCAATGAGAACACAAGGCAAAAACATGCCACCTTCCAAGGGTGAAAATGGTTGCAAATCTAGAACTCTATACCCTGGGAAGATACTTCTCAAAAGGCAAACAGTATCATCTTCATTAGTATACTGAAACCTGACCAAGAAGGTCTAAAACCAAACTCATCAGATACATAGAATAAATTTAACAGTACATGTGCCTCCCAGTTTGCTTCTCCATTGTGTTGGCAAAACACTGACCAGAAAATACTCGAGGGGAAGAATGTTTATTCAGTTTACTTCCAGGTCACACTCCATCATCAAGTGTAGTCACCGCAGGTCAAGCTTCTGTAAGGAACATACTAGGGTCTAAGCTTCAGAGGAATGCTGGTAACTGGCTTGTCCCCTCTGACTTACTCAGCTAGCTTTCTTATAGAGCCATTGTGAAAGGATGGTGTCACTCACAGTGGGCTGGACTCGCTCACATCAATCATCAGGCGAGACAATTCTCCATGAACATGCTCATAGACCACTACAAACTGACTCAAACTTGAGATGTGGAATTTAAAAAAAAATAGCCTGTCATCCAAGA